TCGACCGCCCGGTCCGTCCTTTTGTTTAGCACTCGATAATTATAACGTCAAAAGAAACACGTCGTTAAATCCGGCTCGAAGGACCATATGTTGTGGTATTAAGGTTCACTATTTTTATAGGGACTGATCACAGAAACAAGGTGTCAATGGTACGGTGGTTTAATTGCTACTGAAGATTCAATTACATTTTACCTTAATAAAGACCTCACTCACACATGCTTACTGTTTATCTTACATACAACACAAATGTATTACATTATTGCTCGAACATATATCTATCGAAAAGTAGGTTGTACAAAAAATGTATTTAAAGTACTGTCTTGAGAATGTGACAAATTCATGATTGTGTGCGGATTACTCAGCTTTCATACAAAGATAAAACACCCCTCCCTGCACTAAACAAACAAGACTAGCGAAAGGCGCCAGAGGGGTAAGGTAAGGGGGGTGAGAGGCGCTTAGCTTAGTTTGCGTAGTTTCGGATCGGCCTACACAACTAAGTTAATTTGCCTTAGTTTGGCTATTTTACCTAGCTTAGCTGGCATAGTTTGCGGTGGTACGTTCATGTATGAAATACTGACCCGGCTATGCGAGCTAAGATATACTAAGTTAGTTTAGTTTGCGATGGACGTTTGCCTTCAAGGTCGTAAAACTAATAACTAAAATTATTTGATATCAGCTTTTACTTTTTGTTAAAAGTTTGTTTTTGATTCTTTTGAGTAGACAAAAGGAATATCACAAGGAATATCAATGTAATGTGCAATTAGACTTAGAGTATCGCCTAAAGAGTGAAATTAAAAACTTTTATTTTTCCACCCTTAGCGAAGAATTTTTCCCTATATTTTTAAAGGTTATCCTAGAAGTGTGTACTATAATCCTCTATAATGAAAAATAATTAGATCGGTTCAAAATTGTCGACGGAATTGCGTAAAATATTGTATGCATAAAAATACAGTGAATTACAAACATTTTCCTTTTTGAAGTCGGGTAACAATATTTTCATATTGAACTTACTACTTATACTACTATTTCACGCTATAATTAAAGTCACTAGCGCCATCTATTATCGAGTAGCAGAACTAGCAGAGCTTTGTAGTAAATTACATACTAGAATTTTCCCACTATCGCCATCTAGTATCGAGTAGCAGAACTAGGAGAGCTTTCTAGAAAATTCCATACTAGAACTTTCTACACCTAGTCGGTCGGGACCGGTATGTACTCGAACATTCTAGATGTTCAGTAGAAAAAGTCCTATATAAGACTGGTATTGACCCGACCCGACCCGTTCGATAAGGCTTAAAGTCTCTATTTAGACCATTAAGCCAGTCCCAAAAGGTGATGTTTAGAGAGTAAAAGTCTCCACATAACCACACAGCATACTGTGAGCATGCGCCACTTCCCTCCCCCGTTACCGGAGGGCTGCCCTTATTGCTTTGGGCGCAAATAAAGCGACCCGAGTCAGTATTAAATTTGCACTCAAGCAAATACTTTGAATGTAAATTATATAGCATAACTGCGAACTAAAGTGTTAAGTGTGATTAATTATTAGTGTGTTTTAGGTTGTAATTGGTGTTCGGTAATTAAAGTGTCAATTTTGGTAATTCAATCGGCAGTTTTTATTGTCACAAACCCTAAGCTCGTAAACACCACTTACGATTCAAATGATTAACAGTTCATACATTAATAGGTAGTAAGTCTTCGTTTCTTCCTAGGAATCCGTATGGGTACCTCATACCCATTTCTCCCGCACGCTTTATTCGGGGAGTGTAAAGAGAGCCAGTATAATTTACACGCATTCCATCTTAGTTCTCAGACAAAATACGTGGTAGAGCCATGCTGCAGCTATATTACGGCTGTATCATAAATGAGTCGGCTCGACCGGGGTAGAACCACGCTCTCACAGAATACCAGCGTAAAATAGCAGCCTAATGCTGTGTTTCCTGTGGTGAGTGTAGAGAACCGGATAAAACACCTGCAAATTCTATTCGAATTAAAAAAAATTTAAACTTTGTAGAGTTATAACTTGTAATCAACAAGCTCTCTCAACTTCATAAAACGCATGTTGCAGAAATAAAATATTCCAAGGATATCTGAAATTCCTCGACGCCCATAATAGACTTTAATTTGGATTTTAAAAAAAAACTAATCAAATCTGATACAATTTTGAATATTATTGTTTATATATAGCTCACACAACTAACATACGATATCATTTGATTGCTGACCGAATGATGTGGCCCTGTGACAAATGAGGATAACCACTCGAATGTCGGGGTCGTTTCGGCCAATATGGCGCATCTGTCGACCACTTTCCGAAGTACTAAGTATTTGAGACGCCAGAATATGGCCTTTGGACAGACGAGGGTATATAGGAAATTATAATGGACATTATTTTATTTTCGTGTGCGATATAAAAACAAACCAAACACAGGATGTTTTACAAATACTATGTTTGTAACCCTATAAATAATTTTAGCGTAATGTATATTAACAAAAAAAGGATACTCATTTTTTTGTTTACGAAGCTCCTTATATATTGCTAATCACAGTCTATTCATATTCCTCATACACGGTCCAGAACAAACCAAATGGCATGTAAACACGATGTTTAATCAATATTTTATCATTGAAGACAATCATCACATCGAATCATCGTGGGTTTAATTTAAACATTATCCGTCTTATTACAAAACGTAGTTTATTGATGGTTTCGAGTTTAAGCCATGTTTAAGGGGGGTCATTTTCACAAAGCAATGATTTGGGCGTGGCGCCACAATCTACGCAATCTATTTTGACATTCGCTCAATTTTCATACTTTACATTTTTATAGTTTGCATATTTCCACGAGAGTTTTATGAAACAAATTCTAATTTAAGCCTATATAAAGTAATTTAGTCGGTTATAAGACGGTATTACTACCATACGTAGTGCGTGATACACATAAAAAAGAGAATATACGCACTACTACTACTGTGACTAGCTCACAGCCTCAACGGATGTAATGACGTCACAACCAATTACAAGTCGTGTTTTTTAATTCAAAAATTTTACATTGTTTTATTTATAATTATTACAAATGGAATTGTTAATTAAAAAATATTTAAATATACTTTAAATAAATTATTGTTACATTTTATATTAAATTGTGGCAAAAAAAATTAATGCAACTCCTCTATTCGTTAGTGCATTTGATAGTTCTATTAATTATTGTTAAGGTAGCGTACGCCAAGAAATTAAACTTTTAATTTTGAATTTTTAGCACCATGGATAAAAAGGACTTTATTTTGGTATAGGCTATTTTTTTACAAAAATGTAGTCTATGTTTGGTTATATTTTGTAATCTAACTTATAGCCAAGTTCCATCAAAATCCATTCAGTATTTTACGCATGATTAAGCTACTAACATACAAACGTCGATCCAACAACAATAAATAACCAGTTGTGAAGTGATAAACAACCACACAACCTACCTTATGGTTGTTTGATGCTGTGGCCCATTTAAGATACCTATGTTCATTGTACATCTATCCTCGATTACGATTAAAAATGCAGATACGTTGTCAACCCCTTAGTCCCTGAGAACTAAGATGAAATGTCTTTAAAGATTGATTAAAACTACTTTTACGGATTTTATAGCGTTTATTTTACTTATAATTATTTGATTTTTAATTCCCAACGTTTCGGGCGCTTTCCAGCACCCATGGTTTCTCTTCTTCTTTTAAATTATGGCTTCTCTTGGTAGAATTTTGCCAGTGTCAAGTCAGTAGCACCCATGGTCACGGGGGACTGAGATGACTGACGTCCCGATGTCATTGTTAAACCCGGAGTACCTTCAGCTTTTTTAATTATTGTTTATGGTCCGATCTATGCAAAATGAACTGACTATGTCCTGAGGTCTTGCAGTGGTATGCGTAGGTTTAGTTTTAATTTTATTGATTATAGGATCCCAAGCAGGTGGTAGTACCCAGCCTCCTTCTCTATTGAAATTAGGATGTTTTTTTTAATCATACCTCATCGTATCATCCTTGGTCCTACCAAGGATCGGTGTTTATTTGCGAGGATTTGTGGTCTATCAAATCTGATGTAATGGTTGGGGCCGTCTAGGATATGATCACAAACTGCAGACTTCCCGAAACGTTGATGCTTCACATCAGCTATATGTTCTTTTACGCGGGTTCTAATTGATCTTTTTGTTTGTCCTATATAAGAGAGACCACATTCACAATCAAGCTTGTACACTCCTGCATCTTGTAGAGGAATATGACACTTAACGGATGGTAGGAACTGACTAATCTTCTTCGGCGGCTTGTAGAATGTTCTAATAGAAGCTCGCTTCAAGATGTAGCCAATCTTGTCTGTGACACCTCTGCGTACATTATGGTAGTACAGCAGACACACGCTCGACTGTGGCCGGCTTCACTCGGTCACTGTGACGTAGGCGCGGGACCCGATTTTTTTTATCACAAGTTGAAGTTTGACATGACGAAAAAATTTTAAGGCGATTATTATTTACGATTTTAGGAGTTCCCTCTCTCTGCAAGATACACTGCTGGTTTTCAAAACGATTTTGGGAGGGAAGCACCCCATTTGCGCACCGTATGCGTAGGCGCGCAGATATCTTCTGCATATATGCACATTTTCGCTAAACGAAGTCATTTAAAAAGAAATTTATTTAATGTAGTATATAGAAGTGTTTGGGTAGAGTGTTCAGCTACTTTATTTAAAATTATTTCATAAACAAACCTGTTTTTATTAAATGCGACCGGAGCCGAGAAAGGGTGTATAAGAGCTAGTATATTATAAACAACAATTAATGTTTAAAGTCCAAATTATCGGTCAAATAATTGCGTACTTATATAAGTTACCAGTGCAGTGTTTTGTACAAGCTTAACTTTCGTGTCTAGTCGAACCAGTCATTGAAGCGCATGCACATTACGTAGCCGTGTCGCGCGCTTGTAGCAGCAAACGCGAGAGAAAATTGAAATTTCAAAACTGTGAAAGTGATGGATGCCGAAATAGGCAATGGTAGCAAACATTATAATGTCGGTGATGTGGTTGTATTTTCAAACATCAAATATTCTATTTCCGGTAAAATACTAATATTATTTTATTTGATATAATGCATGATGAGTAAAATATAAGTAACGCGCAAAAAGTTTAAGTTTAATAGAGTACGATAAGAATTACAATTCTTCTTTATTAATTACTGATAGTCGTGCTATTTGGTATGTCGATGATTTATTCAATTAGGTAAATAATTTATTTTCTAAGCGACGTAAGTGGAATACAACCATTTGTTCCTTAGTTACTAAGACAAAGCTCGGCTTATGGTAATATTTTACTGATAATAACTCAATCATTGTTTGGTCAATTGGCCTGCATTTGTCATTTGAAGACATGATTACAAATAATTAAAGCGATTAATCAACTAAGCTATCCTCCTACCAAAAGTTATGAATCAGCTTATGATCACTATTGAAATTCATTAATAATATCTTTATTGTTTGCAAATATTTACGAAAGGCAATTAACTATGTACCATTTATGTCGAAACAATTAATTATAGAAATGCAATTTTTATAGTTAATTGTTTTTTATCACGAAGATGCTGCTGTCCATCACGCTGTGTACACAGCAGCAGTATGATGTGGAGTAATGCATTCTCTAACTCCGCCACATGTTCCACCAGACAATCTATGGGAGAGGCCCTTGAGCAGCTATGGGCTTGAGATAGGCTATATAATATGCAACCTCTAACATATGGATTCTCCTACGCGGGCCCCGTCTTTGCCCACGCAAACCCTAACATTTTAAATGAACTCCAAATAGTTCAGAACCTCTTCTGTCGTCGAGCTGCGAACGCACCGTGGTACGTCCGTAATGCCGACCTTCATCGGGACTTAGAGCTCCAACAATTCAGCAATTTCTTAAAAAACTCTCTGAGAACTTCTTCAAAGCCTCAGAGTCGCACCCAAACCATTTAATTCGTGAGGCAGCTTCTTATGCAGCCCCACCCCCCCTCTCGCTATCGTGTCCGCAGGCCGAGAAACTCTCTCTCGGACCCGCCTAATAAACTTTCAAACGACCTGAACTGTCTCCTGGCGGCTCAGGCCAACTCTTTAAATAAAATTATTGTAATATCTAACATTAATTTGCCTTCGTAGGCACTCCCTCAGCGGCACTTAGCCGCCTGCGCCCTCTTTTCCCAAAAGAGGGTCGCTCATGATAAGGCACAATAGAGCTTAATCAGCCGGTTGCCTGTCCCCAAAGGCGGTTTTTAGAGGGTATCACTTAGGGTCCCCGGTAGGACAGTGAGCCCCTCATAACCACGATAGACCGGCTATCGTGGTATGCGTAATGCATTTTCCGCCTCCCTACGTATAGGGTAGCCCTTTAATTGCTTCGGGCGCAAAAAAAAAAAACATATGGATTCATTAGTCATCTTCCCCGTCGCAAGTCTGAGTATATATGATCTAGAATAAAAAGGATTAGCTTTAGTCGGTTTTGTCGTTTATTAAGGATATGATGTTTTTTTTTTAACTCTTAGTATATAGTTGCAGCTATAGTCAACCAAATCTAAGAAATACCTTTTGACGTTTCACATGAATCATTCCGTAATAACTTTTCACCAGCGTACTCACACGATTTAAAATAACCTTTTACGTAAATCCGAAGAATTATGAAGTTATCTATATTTCATTACGACGTGTATAGTTTTTTAACACTAATTTAAATTTTTATTTTTCAAACAAAGCAAAATACTAAAAAATAACCAGTATTAACTTTTTTTACTTGACGTCGTTTCAATGATATGTCGCTATGTATATTACCGTAGTGTTTGGATGATTAAAATTCATTGTTATACGAATAATCGGTAAAATATTCAAATAATCGGTAAAAATTTTCAAATAATCGAATCATTAATTTTTTTAATGTATTATTTGTTTAATATAATTTTTATTTCCAAAATTCCTTAAATTACATGAATCATGAATAAAACAAGTTTTTTTTTACTTTGTCAAAGTTTTGTGTAGGTAAAAAAAACTCATATACACGGCCGTGCTAAAATAACCACTACATAATTTCAATATCCCGCCATTTCGGTACCAGTTACTCAACTCTACAGAGTCAGTAATTCATTCTTGGTTCTTGGGGCGATGTATAGGTTTACAACAAAATCGCAGAAAATATACAAAATTTGACGTAAGTATACAAAGTTCAAAAACTTTATTAAACTAAGTTTGTATAAAAAGGGTTATTTTAATATTAAGGATTTTATGGATGGTAATAAACCCCGGGAAGGGAAGTGTTGCTAATTGTAACAAGCATGATTGTAAGCTCTTATTTAAAAAAAATTAGTGCCGTTGGGTTTTTTGCTGGTTTTTCCCAGGACAGAGTTTTTTTTACGAACCGGTGGTAAATGAAAAAAGTGACTTTCAATAAGTATTATTCATAATCTATATTGAATAAAAAAGTTTCTGTTTCTGTTTCGATGTAATGAGTAATTTTGTGACTCGGCTTTAACTTTTTGGACTGTTTCCTCTATAATAACTTTTTGTACGTGGTAGAGCCACGCTACATCTATATTATAGTTGTAGCTCGAATGGGTCGGCTCACCTGAGGCGGGACCACGCTCTAACAGAACACCAGCGTAAAATAGCAGCGTAATGCTGCTGTGTTTCGTATGATGAGTGTAGAAAACCGGAGACCCTTTTTACTGGAATCGAGGCATTCCATCTTAGTCCTCAGGTGTGACAACGTATTTGCATTCTGATTATTAATTGAGGATAAATATGTATGTCTATGGGCCATAGCATCCACTTACTATCAAGTGGACTCTGTGCTCGTTTGTCACCCAATGCTATATAAAAATATAACACTAATTTAAATTTTTATTTTTCAAACAAAGCAAAATACTAAAAAATAACCAGTATTAACTTTTTTTACTTGACGTCGTTTCAATGATATGTCGGTATATATATTACCGTAGTGTTTGGATGATTAAAATTCATTGTTATACGAATAATCGGCAAAATATTCAAATAATCGGTAAAAATTTTCAAATAAAGTTGAAGCATGTGCCCATGTCAAAAAGCATGATTGGGCAAAAGTGGTAGAAAACACAAAAAAAATGATTATGGATGACTTTGAAAGAGACATTAATTTTGACTGCGTTATTGAAAATCAAATAATAATTAATATAAACAACGACGTCTCTACTAGTTGTACTGAAAGTGATTGAATTAATAATGAATTGATAAATTTATTTTTAATCTAGTTCCATCTTAAATTTTTATAACTGTGCCTATAGAAATAAGCAGTAACAACAAATACGAAGAAACTGATAAATCTTGTGTTTTAAATTATCCGTTTTTAATTTATTCTGGTATTATTCAAACCAAACTGTAAATGATTACCAACTCTAAATAATCAATATCGATTTTTTTAAGAATCGAATATTGTACGTTGCCATATTTTGGTTGGCATGCTTGGTGCAATAAGTCTGACAGCTGTCAAAATGTATTTCTTAAATTTGGTTGACTATAGTAATAACTAATAGCTAGTTATTTAACGCTGGATAAGGAAAATGTATTATAATATATTAATTTATAACGTTCACTTAAATTAATATATTAATTTAAGTTGACATTAAAAAAGCTTGAGCAGTGAAGGACCACAGCTCAGATTCGTCAACTAGTAACACGCACTGGTTGTACACTTTTGTTTTCAAGTTTTGAGGAATGCGTGAGGAGAAGATGTGTCGTAATCTCTCGCGCGCTGTCCAGCGATTTGGATTCATCGATTGATTTCTTAGTCAAAGTTAGACTTACCTAGTCGAAAACTTTATCCAAGATAATCATACTGTTTATCTTGTATAAAGTTTTCGACTCCATCAACAAGGATCATGTTTAATGTGCATCGTCCATCTCACACTTAAGTAACAGTAACAATAATAGTAGTAAATGGTTGGGCTTAAAGTAAAGTTTAAGATAAAGTTGTAAACGTGTGATGGATCTCATTAAAACCTGAAATTAAAGAAATTAAATAATTAAAATGTTACTATTGTTGCACATTTTTCCCGTATCCCGATTTTATCCTCCCAGTTCCATTTTTATACATTTAAGTCACGATGTTTGGAAAAGTGAATAAGTTTAAGCATATCCACTATGCTAGCGAACCGTCATTAGTTATCTTTCACAGCAATAAACTCAATAATTTGTTCTTTATATATTACACTCTGAGTATTAAACCATTGTTTTAATATTCAAAGATATTACATCAATCGTGTAAAAAGATGTGCATATTTTTATACGATTGGTGTATTATAAGGACTCATAAGCAGACTATAAAATTGTATCTTATTGGAAATCTCGATAAGAAATATTGGAAGGGATACTCTTGCTGAAATTTTATTGTGCAACCCCATGTAAAGAATATTCTAACTATTCGCCAATTAATTAAGTTCAAATACGTGAAGCAACAAAGGCTATAGAACTGGGTGAAGTAAGATAAATAAACGGTCACGAATACTCCAGCATTTATCGGTATAGCATATGCTGACATGGATTTTTTTTTATAATAGAGGCGGCAAACGAGCATACGCCTCACCTGATGGTAAGTGATTACCACCGCCCATGAATAACTGCAACACCAGGGGAATTGCAGATGCGTTGCCAGTTTCTTAAAAAGGAGTAGGCTCTTTTCTTGAAGGTCCCTAAGTCGTATCGATCCGGAAAAAACTCTGGCGGGAGTCGATTCTACAAGGAAGTTGTGCTAGAAAGATTATCTCTTTCTTTTAAACCGCACGGTGGTGGACCGCCAGTCATCCAGATGGTATGGATGGTTTTGCGAGTTTTAATAAAGGAACGCAAAAAGAGACAAATTAGCGTTCATTAGTGTTTATTGAGGAATTAATTTTATCAGTAAGAAATTAACTTAAAGGTATTAAATAATTTCGTACTCTGATGTCGGCGCTAAAACATACTGAATTCGGGTTTAATTTTTTCAAAACTTATTTTTTTAATCTTTTGGGTGAACTAAGAAAACTAAAAATTTCAATGTCACGGAAAGTAGTTATTTAGATTAAA